CCTTCTCACCAAAGAGCAAATCCGAAGATTTACCTTTGCTCCAACAATTAGATCATATGACAGAATTACATGTTAATTTAGAGTTGAAAGGCGGCCTCCTCTAGACTAGTTTTAGCAGCGGCCAACCTTGAGGACTCACCAACCACCAAAGTACCTTCACGGGCATCTTTCTTTGCTCAATCAAATTCAACAGAGGCAATAGCCCTTTACTCATGTGTTTGTTTGCAGCAGTAGGGGCAGGTGCACTCGCCTCAATCACCAAAACAGAAGCAGCAACCTCCTCTCAACTAGACCCAGAACCAGCAACGTGAAAACCATCTCTAATAGCAGCGATGGAGCTTCATAAAATAAAATTCATTCTCATATACCTCTCAAAAATATGACATTTAATCTTTTATAAGCTTATAAAATTTTAATTTAACTTGAGATTCAAGTAAACATTTATATTTTAAATATCGTTAAAATAATACCAAAAATTAAAAAATAGCCATGTGAATATACTCATAAATTGTAAATAAATAAAATATAAGAAAACCTTAGAATCCAAAAAAACTTAAAATCCTAAAAATAAATCCTAACACTAAAATCAAAATACATATCATTTAAATTTGAATAAAAATAAATAATAATAATAATTTGGGTGTGGTTTCTATAAGGTTGCAACCTTAAACAATCCAATTAAGGCGCACCTTAAAATTTTATCATAACATGTAATTTTGTTGTAAAAAATTATTATTATTATCTTAAAATCGATTTTCAAACCTAATTAGAAAATTTCAAATTTAAAAATGGTTAAAATCAAGTAGATCTATACATATAGGAAAATCTTGAAAATGGACGGTCTACATAATGTGTTGCAATATGCACTATTTTCGGAACTCAAAAACTTCTTTTTTTTCATATTCATACATTTTGATGTCAAGATGATTGATTAGAGGGTTTTTTTAATATTAAAATAATATTTTCGATAAATTTTTGAGGTGCATCTGTGATTCTACATTTTAATGTTGCAACCTTATTTACAAACATTTTCCCAATAAGTTTGCTTTCCATCAATATGGAATGGAATGTTAATCTAGATACGAATGAGTCGGGACCGAACTAGGTCCCATGTGCTATAGATCTCGGCCCGGTTTCCCTTAATAAATGTGTGATGATAGTTGTCAAAAGCGTCATCATCGTCCACGGAATAGGTAGGCGGTGATGGAGATACAAGGACCGTCATTCTTGTTCATCATCAGTTATTGATCGGATGGAACAACGTTCATGACCATAGATTGTAAATGGTCATGTGGATCATGGCATATATAAATTCAGAGAGATGGAGAGAGAGAGCACAAAAAAAGACTGGTTTTCTTAGTTCTGTCTGCTTCCAGAAGTCTCTCTCTCTCTCTTTCTACCCTTCTTTCTCTCTCTACACCTCTCTCTCTCTCTTCTACCCTTCTTTCTCTCTCTACACCTCTCTCTCTCTCTCCTCTGCACATCTCTTTCAACAAATTTGTTCCCACCCTCTCTCTAAATACAAAAAAAAGTGGCTGGGATCAATATTGATTGCTGGCGGCAAGAACCTGTGGATGGCATTAATGGCGTTCGATCCTCCAAATTGAAATCAGTGGATAGAAAATCATTTGGGTTCTTTCCTTTTTCTCTGAATTTGAAATATGATCAATCGTAGAAAAGCCCCATTCAAAAAAATTCACTTTTTTTTCTTCCTTGCAAAAGATTAATGGATGGTGTTAGTTATTTTGGATCCTAGCCATTGATCTCTTATAAGTTCTAGAACACTCTCTCATTAAAACCGTGAGCTTAGAGAGAGAGAGAGAGGACATTCTGCCATGGACTTTATAGCCTATTACTAAGGTACATCCGTATTCATGCCTTCACCTTTCTCTGTACGTTTTCATTTACAGTTCTGAATTGGGTTTCCTGTATATTCGGCATCTTGGGGTCCAATTCATTTTAGGGATTAGCAAATCAGGGCTTTTGATTATGATTATAGTTCTAGCTATGTTCTCTATGGATTAGGATTTTGATTTTTCGCCGAGTTCTTTTCAGAGTTCTTCTATTGACTCTGTACCGCAAATTTTACGTTTTTGCCCTATCACGTTTACCTCATGTGTACTCTGAGATTTTTGGGAATCGGTATTGCTTTTCTATGCTGTATAAATTCGATATTTCTCATTGTCCATTCATCAAGTTTCCTTTTTCTTTTCTGTGAGATTTTGATTTACGCAAAACACGCATTTTCCAATAATCCTTCAGGGTTATGGCCAGATTTTGAATTCGTGGTTCGAGTCTTAAAATTGGTTCTTGATTTTTGGATATTTTCCCTTCTTTGTTTATACTTCATATATTTGAACTTTTGATCAAATGACTAGTTTGGAGAAGTCATGATTTTTCTTTGCGTTTTGAAGCTTGTGTTTGAGATTTTATCTTTTATTGTTTATACTTAGATTCCTTGTTGATGCTCATCTAGACCTCGAACTTCTTTAGAATGTTCTCTGATCAAGTTTGTAAGATAACCGATTAACAAAAAAAAGAAAGAAAAAAGAGAAAAATCTCTATGGGCTTTGCATCTGTAGTTTCTGTTTCTCAGATTTGTAGGAGTTCCACCTTCTAATTATTCCATTTTCCTAAGGCCCCATTTGGATTTTGCAGATAAGGAGTCCATTGAAACCAGCAAAGCGGCTTCTTCACTTGGGTTTCGAGATTGCACACTGGTAATTCTTAATCTTGGTCTTCTCAATTCAAACTGGTTCATTCACTCTGACACTAAGCTACTATAGACCAGAGTTCCTGGACCTTTAGCATCTTCATCTCGGCATAAAGCCGAGGTATTCTTTTTTCACTTGGTTTCGGAGACCATTGTTCATCTTGGTTCTTCTCAATTCAAACTGCTTCATCTGGAAACCAGATTTACTGAACCTCTATCTAACTTATTCACCTTGATATAAAGCTAGGGACTTGAAATGGCTTCTCTTGCGGGAGGTCTTCTCTCAAGGTTATATGGAGTCAGCTGTGATTTCTTACGCAAGTGCCTATGGCGTGTGGTCACCTTTGGCCCAATCCCCAAACATGTTGCAGTTATAATGGATGGAAACCGACGATTTGCTCGAAACCATCATCTTAAAGAAGGGGCTGGCCATAGATATGGGTTTGTGTCTCTGATGTCAACCCTTCGCTATTGCTACGAAATGGGGGTCGAGTATGTGACCATCTACGCTTTCAGTATCGACAATTTCAAGAGAAGGCCTGATGAAGTCCAATATGTTATGGACCTTATGCATGAGAAGCTCTCGTCTTTGTTGAAAGAAGAGAGCCTTGTGAACCAGTATGGAGTTCGGGTGACATTTATTGGAAATTTAAAGCTTATGCCCGCTTATGTTAGGGAGACAGCTGAAAGGGCAATGGAGGCTACTGCTAAGAATGATAAAGCGGTTTTGTCAATCTGTGTGGCCTACACTTCGACAGACGAGATCACTCGAGCTGTGCGAGAGTCTTGTAATGAACGACGTAAGAGTGTCTCGGGCTCGAAATTGATTATGAAGAATGGTGACAAGAGTAATGGAGCAAATGATTTGATTACTGTTTCTGATTTGGAAAGGCATATGTACACAGCCGGGTATCCTGAACTGGATATATTGATCAGAACTTCGGGCGAAACCAGACTTAGTAATTACCTTCTTTGGCAATCTAGCGGCTCTTTCTTGCATATCTCTGATGCGCTTTGGCCTGAGTTTGCGCTCAGGCATGTGTTATGGGCTGTTTTGGAGTATCAGAGGGCGCAACCTTATCTAGAGAAGAAGAGGAAGATGGTCTGATCAGTTTGTGTCTTACAGAAATCCTCCGTCTCTCTCTCTCTCTCATCAGTTTGTGTCTATCAGAAAAGCATCTCTCCTTGTAGCAGAAACAGAGTCTTCTTTTGTGGTTTCCATTTGGTCTCTGTGAACCACTCTTTTATTACTTGAGAGGTGTATCCTTTACTAGTTGGAGTGAGCTTGCAAACTCTAGAATTTGGTTATGCGAATGTTCTGAGTAATTTAGGAGAGAAGATGAAAGGCACTATTAGAAATTTAATTGACAAATATGGGTAATTTTAGAATATCTTATAGCCAGTCATATATTATATCTTCATTCTTGAGGTGTGAAGCAAATGAGAAAAAAATATAAGAGAGGACAAGGTTCCCACAAATTTAATGGCAGGTGTGGTTTTGTGTAAGGTTACAACCTTAAACAATCAAATTAAGGAGCACCTCCAAATTTTATCATAAATATAATTTTGGTGTCAATAATTATATTAAGGAGCACCTCCAAATTTTATCATAAATATAATTTTGGTGTCAATAATTATTAGGATAGCTTGAGAATTTATTTTTACCTCTAATTACGAAACCTTAAAACTCTAAAAATGGTTCAAATCAAGAAAATCTTAAAACTGGATGGTTCAGATAATGTCTTGTAAGATACAAGATCAATAAGAGGGTTTTTCAACAGCAAAACAACCTTTTTATAATGGATTTTTGAGGTGCATCTTAATTCTACATATTAAGGTTGTAACATGTCATAAAGTTTTTCCGTCATATTTTTCCTTACCGGTTCTCTTTTAATCCTGCTGTTTTTGCCACACCTTTCTCTAATTTGTGCAAGCCAGGGGGGGGCAGAGAGGGAAAAAGGGGGCGGGGAGGGAGGGAAGGGAGAGAGGGAAGGCTTCAACGTTAATTAGTGAAATATTATAGATTTGAACCAAATCGTACTTCATTTGTTGCAAATATAGTTATGAATGAATATGGGCAAATATAGTTATGTATGCATTGCCAGATTCATTCATAACTGATGTTCAAAAGGAAAACTTCCTATGTTAAAAAAGAAAACTTGTTAAAAATAACTTCGACACAAATAACATTAACGAAATTCTATTTTAAATTATATCATTACAAGGCACAATTAAACCCTGTATCATTAAATTCAGGGAAACACAAGTTTTTTTTTTTTGGGTAATTTAGTGGGGAAGACGGCGCCTACCCTTGTTTTTCAAATAGTTTAGGAGTTAGTTTTTTAAAGTGTTAATGGGGTGGTGTCACTAGGAATGGAGTACCACAACGTGGTGATTGAAGTATGGGGGTGCTACCATTACGACCCCATCCCTTGCCCGACTGACACACTAGTTGGTACAGTCATGAAGCAGTTTGATACTGGCAATGAAACTGCCTCCGAAACTGACATGATGGCTTGAAGTCTAAAGGCAATGAAACTGCCCCCGAAACTGACATGGCTTGAAGTCTAAAGGCGCCTAGATTGAAATTTTGAAATTGTGCATGTTTTCTTGACACATGATAATACGATTTGTTCATGTTTTCTTGACACATGATAATAAAGCCTTGGAGAGTTGTATTGTTCTATGGACTATGTTGATTATAATTCTTTGCTACTTCTATTGTACTTAATTGTCATTCCTATACATGTCCTATATTCAGTGAATTGTTAAGGGAGAGTGTTTCTCCATATGAGAAGTGTTGCTGTTTTTAACTTCACATTGGAAAACGGATGTGTGTTAGCACAATGGCTTTTGTGCTAGACTAGCGTTTGTTTATTGCCAAAAAAATAACTACGCGCAAAAGATGCCATTGATGAGACTCTTGGATTTTAGTTATTTCAGGTTCCTAGCCTCTCAAATCAGGACTTAAATTTTTCATGGTATTAGAATACTGGCTTCTTCTCCTGAGTTCTTCAATTTTACATTTAGTGGATCTTGCATCTTGAAATTTTATTTTTCAAACCGATTGGTTCATTTGAATTTCAGCTAATAGGATCTGGAGATTTTAAACCACCTGTTTCATAGATTATTTTCAAACTGGTTATATAACATTTACTTTAAACTAGTAGGGTTGAATTTGAGCTAGAAATAATTGGAGTTTTAATATCAATTCCTTTGCAGACTCCGTAATGGGTATTCATAGTGGCTTTTTTATTTCGCTTTTTCAAATAGTAGGATTTGAGTTTATGCAGTGTGGCAATGGGTCGGGGTCCCCCCCAACTTGGGCCCGACTAAAAAATAAAAATATATATAAATTTAAATATATTTAAAATATTATGTTAAATACATACATGTATTATTTAAATATTATAATTATATTTTTTAAAATATTATTTCAATATTATATATTAAGTATTATTTAAATAATAAAATTATTCGAGTTAGGTCCATGTCTGGGTTAGGTCCACATGAACCTCATATCCAAATAATGTTCGGATCCAAGTTTTGGACTCAGACCCAACCCACTGAATCCAATTTTTTAACCCCTACTTAGATCTAGATCAAGTCTAGACGTCGGGTCTCGAGTCGGTCTGGGTCCATTGCCACCCCTTTGTTTCCCACTACTTTTCAAGACATTCTCCTTGAACATTTTCTAAGAAGGGAGAGAGAGAGAGGATCTCGATGAATTAAGGCGGGAGGAACCTATGAAGGAAAATGATTTGGGAACTTTTTTAAATTTTTTTCTTCTTTTTTTGAAATATTCAAAGTATAAAGCATTAATCCATCTTTTATAGGTATTTCATCTTCAAGTCTTCTAACCAATGTTTTTGAATTACCTCTTTTAGTTTTGAAAAAAGTTTATATAAAGTTGCACCTCTAAAGCCCTAAAAAAGAGAGTATTATGATATTAAAGAACCTTCCAATTGATCATCTCGAGCTCAATATATATGAATATGAATAAAATAAGAATTTTATATCTAAAATAGTGCATCTTATAACAATCTATCGAGACTATCTATTATCAATATTTTTAAAGTATTTACATATATATTTGATCGCTATTCTTTTTGAAATTATAAATTTTATAACTAGGAATAAAAATAGATTTTTAAACCATCTGTAAGTTGTCGACACGAAAACTACATCTTTAAGCAAAGTTTAGAGGTGCACCTTGGTTCTTTAAACAAAGTTTAGAGGTGCACCTTGCTTCTATGAGGGCACCTTATACAAACCTAACCAATTTTTTTCTTTTTTTTCTTTTTTTTTTCTTCTTGTTTTAACTATTTTTATAATTATTTTCTTTTATTTTATTTTTGAAATAAAACGCTAAGTTGGGCTTTCCTCCCTTTTCCTGCACATCCATCCTTTTTCATCCAACAAAAAGGACAAATTCCGGCTTCCTCTCTGCACTGTATATATATACCTCCAATTGATAAACCCAAAATTCCCATTCCTCCATTACATACATGCGCTTTCTTAGGCCATACTTCTCTCTCCTCAACGAAAATTTACTACACAGAGCCCCTCAAAAACACTGCCACCAAGCTTTCTCTCTCTACAACAAAACCCACATATTTAAAACTTCACATGATCCTTGTCATCTTGTCGAAACTCTGAAATTATGTTCCAGTCTCAGGTCCCCAAAGCAAGCAATTTCTCTCCATGGTCTTGTTATAAAAACTGGGTCTTTTTCAGAAAACTCAGTGGCCAATTCATTGATGGGATGCTACAGTAAATGCGGTCTAATGGACTCTGCTTTCTCTCTCTTCAATTGCATAGAAAACAGGGACTCAGTGTCATGGAACATAGTGATTCAAGGTTGCATCAATCACGATTCTTTCATGAAAGCTGTTTTCATGTTTTCGGTGATGAGAGCCTCTGGTTTGAGCTCCACTGTCCCCACTATGGTGCTTTTATTTCAAGCTTATGGACATTTGGGCGCTATCCAAGAAGCTACGGGTGCTCATTCCCTTATGATTCGAACTGGGTTTTCAGATATTGTATCGATCCAGAATTCTCTGTTAAATGTATATGCAAGAGCTGGGGAGCTTCAACTTGCTCTGCGACTATTCGATGAAATGGATCAAAGAGATGTGATCACATGGAGCATCATTATAAACGGACATGCACGTAACCATCATCCTGGCATTGCCTTATGTTTCTTCAAAGAAATGCATAATTGGGGCGGTATCAAACCCGATGGGCTCACCATTGTAACCGTTCTTCAAGCTTGTGCAGCCATGGAGGACACTTATCCGTTACTGGTTTTACACAGTTATATCATAAAGTTGGGTTTCAGGACTGATGTTTTTGTGAACAATACCCTCATAGACTTATATTCAAGATGTGGGGATACCCAATCAGCAAGAAGAGTCCTGGACTATATGCCAGAAAGGAATAATGTAACATGGAATTCGATTATAACTGGTTTGGTTCAGAATGAACATTATATCGAGGCCTTGCTGTTCTTTAATCATATGCAAAAGGATGGAATTGAAGCTGATGAGGTGACAATGGTGAACTTGCTTCAAGTTATCAAGCGATTTGGAGACTCAAAGAAGTGCAAATCTATACATTCTGTGATAATTCGTAGAGGGCTCGAGGTGAACATGCTTTTATCAAATTCTGTAATGGATGCTTATGCCAAATGTGGATCCTTAGAGCTAGCCTGGAGGCTGTTTACCAAAACTAATGATAGGGATTTGGTCTCATGGAGTACAATAATCGCTAATTTTTCAGATTGTGGGAGGCACAAAGAGGCCCTCTCTCTATTCCGAGAGATGTATATCTCACAAGAGAAGCCCAATTCAGTAACCATGTTAAGCATATTAGACTCTTGTGCTAGCTTAGCCGCACTTCTTGGAGGAAAGTGGGCACATGGGCTAGTTATCAGAAACAGGCTTGAGAGAGAAGTAACAGTATCCACGTCTCTCGTGAATATGTACGCCAAGTGTGGGGACACAGTAATGGCTCGAAGAGTGTTCGATTCCTCCCCAAATAAGAATGTGGTAACTTGGAGTTCCATGATTGGAGCCTATGGAATGAATGGCCATGCAAGAGCTGCTCTTGAGTTATTCAAAGAAATGGAATCATACAATATGAAACCAAATGAAATCACATATCTTTCAGTTTTGTCGGCCTGCAGTCATGGTGGCTTAGTAGAAGAAGGTCGAGCTTGTTTCGAGAGAATGGGTCAAGATCCTCGAGTGAAGCCAAGCGTAGAGCACTATGCTTGCATGGTGGATTTGTTAGGAAGGGCTGGGCACCTTGAAGCTGCCCAAAGGGTTATTGGGAAGATGCACAATGAAATCAAGGCAGGGCCCAGCGCTTGGGGTGCTCTTCTTAGTGCTTGTAGGATTCATGGAAATACCGAATTGGGAGGAGAGGTTGTTCAAAAAGTTATTGAGTTGGAGCCTTCGAGTTCGGGGGGTTACTTGTTGGCTTCAAGCATGTATGCAGCTGCAAATATGTGGTCTGATGTTGCAAAGATGAGGTCGGTGGTGAATGAGAAGGGGCTTAGAGTGATGGGTGGTTATAGCTTGATACAGGTAAATTTACAGAGCCATAGGTTCATTGCATGGGATTGGTCTCATCCACAATCCCAACTTATACATGAAACCTTGGAGCACTTGATGGGTGAGATGAAGTGGGGAGTAGATGTTGAATTCATGTGAATTCATGTTTTGCCATGGATTAGATTCCTAGGTTTCTGATGAAGAGGGAAGAGGATGATGAATTCAAGGAAAAGTATATCGTGCATCCCCAAATAGATGTGTCCACCCTGATTTACTCCATGGATTTTAGGTCCATAAGCCCTCATAAATCATTGAAAATACATTTCCACATTAAGTCCATGAATTTGCTGCTAATAAAATAGTGATCTGATGATTTGCAAAGAGTTGAAAGGAGAAGTCAGAAAAAAAATCAAAATAGACCTTCAAGGTCTAAAATTCATTTTTTTGCCCATATTAACGATCACGGTGGTCGAGATTATCAACTTGTGAAATTTTGGATCCGAGAGTCATCTCCAAGATAGATTTGTGAAGGAGGTTGCCCAAGAATATGGTGCATTGGCTGACGCAGCAAAACCATATCCATTTTGTCATGGATCTGGACACTGAACTCTTGCAATAAGAAAGACAACAGTCGAGGCAAATTCTAACTGAAATTCAAAATGGGCATGTCATGAAACCCTATCCATTTAAAATTTTAAAATGAGGCTGAGATGTGAAAATGTCTTTGTTCATCACTACTTTATTCTTGTTGTGATCGGACATGGATGTGGGTGCTTTATTCCCTGATTATTAACACAATATTGAAAACTTTGTTGAACATATTATTCCCTTAAAATTATATTCAGAAATTTGACCAATACTGTTATGTAAATTATTAAAAAACTGGGCATCTCAAATTGCAATGATCCTAACATGGTATCAAAGCCAGGCCTCCATTCTCCATTCAATGTCCGTGTATATATACTTTCATAAATTCTAACATGGTATGAGAGCAAGGCCGATCTATCAGTAATGGTTCATTGCTCAATGGGGGTACTACATCTCTCTAGATCGTAATCCATATCATGTTGATTCGTCAACGAGTTGAAGCTAAGGGTTCAATGGCCATCGTTACCTTCATTTTTTTTAAAAAGACCCTTTCGAAATTTAAAATACAACAGGCAATGAATCTTGTTGCATCAAGGTCACAGTGCAAGGCCGCGATGCATGTTCCGTGAGTTTTTGCTTTCGTCGTGAGTTTTTATTTTGGCCCATGGAGGTTTTGTAAACTGATGCACGGGATTTCTCTTGAATGGTGCAAAAGATTTTTGCAATTTTGAGGCCACGTTTTCTCTTGTATGGTGCAAAAGGTTTTTGCAATTTGGAGGACACAATTTCTATTGAAATAGGTCTTGCAAAAGGATTTGAGAAGGAAACTATTATTGGATCGTGAGGCACCAATTTTGTCGTGAGGCACTGAAGCTGTTGGCGTGTGATGCGAGGGTTCGAATAAGAGGATCGAAACTATGTAGAGAGAGACCTAAGATGATTGAATTATCGAAACTATGAAGAGAGAGACCTAAGATGATCGAATTTCTCGATCCTGGTCGATAGTCATGTTTTTTGTTATGTGATCCTGTTTGATGATCATGTTTTCCATTACGTGATTTTGTTTGATGATCGAATTTCCAGATCTTAGTTGATGATTGAATTCTCAATCTTAGTTGATAATCATCTTTTCCGTTACGTGATCCCTTTTGAAGATGAAGTTTTTCGTTACTCCATCCTGTATGATGATCAAGTTTACTCGATCTTCTCTGCTTTAGATGCCTATGTTTCAATGATTGAGTGTTCTGTTACTCAATTTTGTTGAATGATGATTGAGTTTTCCATTACTTAATCTTGTTTGATGATAGAGTTTTTCATTGCTCTATCTTGTGAGATGATCGAATTTCTTTCCATTATTCGATCATGCATATTGATCGAGTTTTTTGTTACTCGATCCCGGATGTTTCAAAGAAAAGAGAAAGAAAGATCTTCTTCTTTTAGAGAGAGAAAACCTCTAGAAAGAAAATAAGCATCTGAGAGAGAAGATCTTTAGAGAATAAAACCTTAGAGAGAGAAGATCTTTAGAGAATAAAACTTTAGAGAGAGAGTCTCTGGAAAAGTAGAGAGCCCAAGAAATATTGTTTTTTGGAAGACCATTGTAACCCATGAAATTTATTATAGATTTAATAGTTACTCGTTTTTGTAGAGAGCCCAAGAAATGTTGTTTTTTGGAAGACCGTCGTAACCCATGAAATTTATCATAAATTTGATCGTTACTCGTTTTTGTAGAGAGCCCAAGAAATGTTGTTTCTTGGAATACCATCGTAACCCATGAAATTTATCATAGATTTGATCGTTACTCGTTTTTTTTGGCAACTTAGTATTATTCAAATTCCAGTTTGAGCTTTGCATCCATGAACGTAAGGCTTCGACATGAACTACATAAATGTTTCTCCCTCTATTCTTCATTCAATGTCCCTCTATTCTCTATTCATTGTCTGTGCATGTATACTCCCACCAATTTAACACTTCTCCTCCCTCTCCCCCTTTCGGCTCCCAGCAATTTTAACACTTCTCCTCCCTCTCCCCCTTTCGGCTCCCAGCAATTTTAACACTTCTCCTCCCTCTCCCCCTTTTTCCTCTCTCTCCCCTCTTCCCCTTCTTCTCTTTCTTTTCTGTTTTGTTAATGTCTTTGTAGTACTATGTAACAAAGTCTTAGTTAACGCGAAAAAAAACGAATGGGATATTTGCTAGCGCTTTTTGCAGAGGGGCAGCCACCCAAAACGGCACTGTGTTTTATGATAAGAGTAAAATGACTTGGTAAAATCTTTTTGAACATATTGTATAGTTATAAAAGTTTAGTTAACCAAATTTTAAAAAAAAATAAAAAATAAAATAAAATAGATTGGATACTATCTTAAAAGACGTGTTATATATTAATATTGTTTTAAAATATGTGTCCAATCTATATCATCCAAATAAAATAGACGATATAGAGTATTACACCTTTTAAAAATATGAGCACAATTTATTCATGGAAGCCTTTATTCCAAAATATATGCAGTACCCTTATATATATGGAAATAGTTAGCCTATAGGTAAACATTCGGGGTGGCAATGGAACCAGACCCGACCCGAGACATGACCTGACTCGACCTGGGTCTAAAAATTAGACCCGGCAGGTCCAATCCGGGTCTAAATATTGGACACAAACACTATTCGGTTATGGGTCTAGGTCTGGGTCCATGTGGACCCGACCCAAACTGAATAGTATTATTATTTAGATTAAAATATTTTAATAATATTTGATTGATATTTAAATAAATATAACTATATATTTTAGCTATAATATGTAAATAATTACATGAATATATTTAACATATTACTTAAATTTATTTAATTGTTTTTTTGGTCAGGTCCAATTGGGTTCGGTCTGGTCCTAATCCAGGTCCCATTATTTTTTTTGGGTCCGATTCTAGGTCCAGCTGGACCCGACCCAACCCGACCCAACACAACACATTGCCACCCCTGGTAAACATTGTCCTCTATCCTTCATTTTAGATGTTAGGTGTACTTTGTAGCGCGAGAGGGCTGCTTTCTCAAACATATTTCTGCTATCTGCTCCCATATTTTGGGCGGGAGGGTGGACTAATTTTGCCATCTATTTTTTTGGGTGAGAAAATAAAAATTAGAGGCCAGAATAGCAATCCACTTCATAGAATTATAAATTTGTTGACATAAGTAAACTCTTATATACAAATAAAAGAAGAATTTATCAATTCAACCTAAAATTTGAACCATTTAACATTTTATTATGGTGTGAGTTGATCAATTTCAAAAACCATGATGATGCGTCATTTGATGGGCTATTTAGATTTTGATGAAGATTGATGGTCTATTTGAACTTAGATAAAAAATATTGTTGTTAAATAGTTCAACCCTTATATGTGATTTGATTAATCTACCTAAATAAAATTAATGTAGATTGGCATGGTTTAAATCCTAGACTTAATCCGCCCAAACAATGTATAAAAAACGTAGGTGTGGCTTAGATTTAGACTAATTTGGCTCAATTACAGTGGATCCTTTGGTTTTGAAAGGCTCATAAACATATAAAATGTATTTCAGCTCTAACAGGAAATTCAACAAACAATTGACATGCAAACTTTCTTTTAATATATATAAAAAAATAGTCACTATAGGTTACTGTAATTTCTTTAACACTCTTAAAAATGGTGCATTAGGATCACAACTTTGTCATGCATAAAACATCCAAAATAAATTATGAGTGTTGTGAGCCACATCTAAACAACCTAAAGCAATTTCCAACAAGCATATCCAAATCAAAACTCTTCGTAAATATGATGCATGATGTAAAATTGCGTACGTCACGCTACGTAATTTTATATTTTGCATAGGGTAATATGTCAACCTTATGTAAATGATGCCTTATTTTTTTAAAAAAATGATATGTTTTGAAAAATAATTCTTGACCATTGTTGGTGTCCTTTGCGGGGAGTAACGCCTTTTGCATGTCATTAAGCTGGATGCTTGGTGCAAAAGGATGCAAATGTAAACTTGCGTCCCCCCCCTCCCCCCATGCAATACATTTTTTCATTATTTTATTCATTTAATGTGTAGCTATTAATTAGTTTTGTTTATATTAATATTTATAACTATATGTAAATAATTATTTTTAATATATTATATTTATATTATTTATATATGAGAGGGCAATAACTCCGCTATGGTCAGTCCCAAGCCTGGAGAAAAGAAAAGCGTGGTAATATGTGAGCAGCCAACGTAAAACTTTGTCACATCTTTTCATAAATCCTAAATCAATATCATATTTTCATGCTATGGCGTTCTTTGAAGTCCATATCTTTGTGTAGTAAGAAGAAATATAGTAACTTATTGACTGACTAAATATATAACTCTTAATACAGCATAATGACAGGACAAACCCCAAATAATTGACATGCGGCTCAAATTATGATAATAATGATAATGATTATATACGGGAGAACATTACCCCCTTCTCTAAACTTGGGGATCCTTTATTTTCTTTTACGCATGACCCTCAAATTAGTTCGTGTCCCTTGCCAAAATTTAGTGTCCACTTCTTCAACTCAATACCCTAGAATTAATTGATGCACCTTCCATGTGCCCCTTCTAAAATTCAGAGTGCACCTCTTCCATGTGCATTTTTTACCTTTAGGAAAGAAATGAAAGGAGGGAAATGCTCAAAATTTTAGTTGCATCACCATTTTAATGGAATACTACATATTTGAATGAGAGGTTATAAGTTTGTAACACATAAATGTGATGAATTGTATGTGTTGGAAGAAAGTTTTAA